CATTTTTGTGCTAAAAAATCATCAAATATCAAGCATTTCTGGCATTTATGGATGGATTTCGTTCAAACTTGGTACATATATTAGACATTACAGGTTCCTGATGCACATCATTTAATTTTTCAGATCGGATTCAAAATGGCTGTCTGGCGGCCATTTTGTTTTAATGAATGGGCTTCTAGACACATATCTCCGATTTGTTTTGACTGATTATATTCAAATTTTAAATATTCATTATACTTCATGTCATAGATAAACAGATATATTGGTTTGACGATCCTATTCAAAATGGCCGAATGGTGGTCATTTTTGTGCTAAAAAAATCATTATATATCAAGCATTTCTGGCATTTATGGATGGATTTCGTTCAAACTTTGTACATACATTAGACATTACAGGTTCCTGATGCACGTCATTTTATTTTTCAGATTGGATTCAAAATGGCTGACTGGTGGCCATTTTGTTTTAATAATTGGGCTTCTAGAGTCATATCTCTTAAATGCTTTGACTGATTATATTCAAATTTTATATATTCGTTATACATCATGTTATATAAATTATATAAATGTATTCAAAATGGCTGATTTTGAATGCTGTTCCAGAGCAATATCTCTCAATATGGACAAGTGCTTTTTTGACGATCAGATACAAAATGTCAATCATTTTAATGTTAAAAAAATCATATTCCTGAAATGGTTATATTCCAGCTATATTACTATAAACAAAACTATATATCTTAAATTTGATAACTAACGGGAACTATGCCATGCATGGCTTGTTAATTGGAGCATTACTCACAATATAGATATCAGGATACTTTTCCAGTGTTACAATATTTGAAAATGTATGAATCGCATCAAATGACATTGACGCTTGACATTGTGACCTGATGTTTACTTCTGTCACAACAGACTTGAGGCCCATGATAATAACATATTAGTTTACATATATTTGCTGTGCTTGAACGATGGTTTCAATCACGGTAAATTACACAGAATATTTACCTGTAGACGTTTGGTCGCCATGGACACCATGGGGAGATTGTTCTGTTACATGTAACGGTGGTGTTCAACGAAGGAGTAGAGATTGTGAAAATCCTATCACAGGGGTGATAAGTGACAAATGTGACGGTATAGATATTGAGAGCAAGCCATGTAACCCTGACTCCTGTACAGGTATGTACATTACAATAAATTGCACCTACAAATAACAGTGTCTTTTTGGCATCAATATTACATATGGGTTAATAGCTTTCAAATTTGCAGTTGTGTCTTTTGTAGTGTATGTATGTAGTAAAATTTGTCAAATATTATGAGGTTATTAGGAGGATACCTCAAAGTATGCACTCAGACAGTACGCTGCGCTTCGGTTGATACTCCAGCTGTACTGTCTTTGTTACCTTTATTATTATATATCTTTTCCTTCCAAGGATACACCATGGCAATGCCGGAATCCAAAATGTTTAGAATAGAATCAGTGAACTTCTTTGTGCAAAGTCCGGTCAAACTCTGGTGACAGCCAAGTTTGTTTTTATTATTAGAGGACTCTTATGTGCATAATCATTCCATATTTGGAATTCATATTTCCTTATATGGTAGGATGAAAATACCCTGTAAAATACCGCAAAATTACAGCACGCTGTAACTTATGGTGTTACGGTGACAGATATATATAATAATAATCTGGATTGATGGACAGGTGCAGAAAAACCCATATCTATTTTTTGATGTAACCCAATCATATCATTTAAAGCACTTTATCACTAGAGGGCAGTATATAGGAAAGGTGTAATGACATTTCATTAATTTTGACAGGATTGTAATGTTGAACTATATATCTTGTACAATAGATAGATTCTGCTTTTAGCACCTAATTCAAGGGTTTGGTGTAAAATAAGGGTTTGCAGTTATCTCTTTAAAATACAATCTGATCAATAAAATCTCTACATAGCCAATACTTATTACAAATTAGGGTTACAATTAGGGACACCAATGGCAATACAAGTTTTGAAATTCATACTTCAACATAAGAATCTTGTTATGTAGATTTTCCTGTTACAATATTGTTATATTACTTTCTAGGAGATGAGGAATGTACTGATGGTAAAGTTTATGTGACTGACTGTGGTGAAATTGAAGTATGTCCAGCTACATGCGATGACGTATCCAGTCCTGGATCTTGTGTAGACCCTGACGCATGCGTACCTGGATGTAGATGCCCATTGGATACAGTAGAACAAGACGGTGAATGTGTTGACCAATCAGAATGTAGATGTCCATTTGACATGAATGCATTTACAGGAGTTACTCTCACATTTGTATCACTAGTGAAAACTACAGGTGGGTAAATTTGATGATAGTTATAGTTCATAATTGTATGTGTTGTGATTATTACATTCACCTTCTCAAATGGTGATGAAACATTTACTGTTATTTACTTTTTAATTTGCAGTTGTGACACCACAATTTGCAGCTCCTGGGGAACCAGGTGGACCAGGAGGACCACAAGGTCCTGGTGGACCAGGTGGTCCTGGAGGTCCAGGAGGTCCAGGTAAGACACGTATACTTAGCTAAAATAAATTAATATTGAAGTAATTTTAAATATATCGGTTCTCCAACTACAAAACAAAATCAGTACGTCATGCAAATTAATAAGCCTTTGTGTAAACATTAAACAAATTGATCATTATTAAGTTATTATTCATTTTTGTCCATTAAATTGTATGTATGGAATCGAACTATCAATTTAATGTTCGAGTATTATTCATTTTCACAAACCATCATATCTCATCACCAAAACTTTTAGGAACAATTTCGGTATTGGTTTCATTGTGAGTCTCTTTACATACCATATTGACTTTACTTGCTGCATCTTTACACATCACATGTGATATTTTAATGTATATGGATGCATGCATATGAAGTTGTATATAAGATTCAATACTATTTTAAACAAACATTATGTATAAATAGGAAATAGATCTCATGTTTTTCATTCCTCAATAAATTGTTTATCCCACCTCTCTGATATTGATTGACTCAAAG